CAAACTCCACTATTCCCCACGTTTCCATTTTAGGCAGGCATTTTTGTGGGGGGAGGAGGTTTGGGAGGTGTCAGTTATCAAAGACTGTTAAATAAACAAAATATTGCAAGAGTTTTAAGCATATTTGTATTTTAAGTAATATATATATATCTTTGTGTATGTATCTTTTATAAAGTTTATATCTCTTCTACCTGTCGGATAGTCCCGCCATGAAGTTTTTTCCTTTCTGCTGGAATGTGCTTTGCTCTGCAGCTGTATTTCGGTTTTGCTTCTTATCGGCCGGCTGGCCTTGAGCGCTCATCGTTTGTGCGTGAATGTCTCCAACTCTCCCACTCACCCCTGAACCGTTACACAGTTCCCCGCATTTTATATTCATTCAGAGGTCATTTCAGGGGGGAACGCGGGGGAACGCAGTTCCCCCGGGTGAGGTGCAGGGGGTGGGGCACATGATGAAGCCCCGCCCCCTGCTTCCGGCCACCCAGCTTCCAGCCCTCATTCAGCCAGGAGGAGGCAGGAGAAGAGGGAGGGTAAGTTGCTTCCTCCCCGCCTCTCCCCACCCCTGCCTGCCTGGGGCCATGGAGGACCTTGGCAGGGCTTCCTTGCACTCCCACTGGCCTTGCAGGTCCACCGCCGGGCCCCTGATGTCAGGGGGTGTGGCATATGCTAATGAGTTATGCTAATGAGTTCCCCTAGCTCTTTTTCTACGAAATGACCCCTGTATTCATTGCTTATTGGCCTCAAAGTGTCAAGGGGTAATGTATGAACCCACTATATCTGCTATTGCCATTTTGTATGTGTCATTCCTGACTCAAAGTGTCCAAGCCGACTTCACCTTACTCTGATCAATAAAGTTGAATCTGCTTAAGAACCTGCTATAGATACTGAGTCACTGAAGTACCTGACACTACCTGGCATTACATTTTATGATACGCATGGCCTGGCCCCATGAAGTCCCATTTATGTCAGCTCTGGTCCTTGTAACAAATGAGTTCAACACCCCTGCCCTAGGCTATAATTTGGGACTGCAATCCATAAGAGTGCCTACAGAAGAAAATCTCTCGCAGGCCCACTGATTTGTTTATCGCATTATTAGTGATAAGTTAGGGGAAGAAAAGGCTAGCAAAACCAAATTTGAGCATACTGTTTCATTATCTTTTCCAAACACTGCTGAATTACCTATGGGACTATTTACAACACCATATCAAATTAGTTCCTAAAATTCAAAATAATAGTTACCCAGAATATTAACCCTATAACAAGAGTCATCTAGACAAACCTTTTTCTGAGCACCTTCCTTCTTTTTCTTTTCTTCCTGCTTTTTCTTTTTCTTTTCTTCCATCAAATGTTCCTCTTCTTGTGTTCGTTCTTTCTCCCTGTTTAAAAATTAAGATTATGAATTGTTTTAGAGTTCTATATTTCAAAATATCTTACATACAGTAAGCATTAAAATATGCAACTTGGTATTAATATAATCAACAGCATTAGGTAGAATTATTATTTTGGTTTATTTAATATCTCTGTAAAAATGCACTCCAAACATTCAAAATGATATGAAAGGAGTTTCTTATGCTGACCTTTGTTTGCTCCACACATGATATAACTAAACAAACAGGAGTCCTGTGATGGAAAAAACTGTATTCCAGCATAAATGTCCATGGACTAAAGTCCACTTCAGATGCAATGAATGGATCCTCACTATGCTGTCATATTATGTAGGGAATAGGAAAAAACAAACAAATAGTAAGGTCAAGGAGGCCAGGAAATGCAGGAAGAAAAGGATGAAATGTAATTACATAAATTTACCATAAAATACAGTGACCATTCACTAGTTATGCTAAGCTACTTAACACCTGTAATATGGTAGGGAATCCTGAGTTCTGCTAAGGTACTTAAAATCTTTAGTGCATAAGAAATCCTAAATCCTAGTTCAAGCATGGGGATAGGGGGTTTCTTAATGAAATCCAATTCACAGTTTCATGCCATTTTCTCCCTCTGATGTTCTTTTGTTGAATAGTGACTTTCAGGTTAACAGAAGGTGGTATCCTACCTTAAACTTTAGCCTAAGAAGCCTTCCTCTAACTTAACTGGCTCATCTGTTGGAGGAAGGCTTCAAACTTTGTTTTGTGGAGTGGTAGGATACAGACCCAGCTGGCTCAGGAAATGTTGTACCTGCAGCTTATTACTGGAACACTCAGGAAAATTACAGGAAAACGGCCAAACACGACCGCTTGTTCCCATCAGATCTCCCAGTTAAGACTCTCCACAACACACTCAAGCAGTGGTAGTTTATTGAGATATGCTTACTTTAGGAAACAGGCTCTGTGTCAGAACTAGCAAAAAGGCGAGCAAAAGCCTCTATTATAGGTAATACAATACACCCCACATCTCACACATATGTCACCATTCAGCCCCTATGATCACTATGGCAACCCTGACAGATATACGGTGCCTTATCTACTTTCTAGCCTGGCAGAAGAGACTCCAAGATCAGCTCCCTTGGGAACTAGAGTTGGGGCACAGCCTAAGGAAATGTTATGGCTTCTAAAAGCATCCACTCCAACCCATGCACTCCCCCACCCGAACTATGGCAAGCAGTAAGTGGAACGAGGTGAAATGAAACCAAAGCTTGATAGTTCCTAAACAAAATATTTAACATTTTAAAACCAACTTTTAGTCTTCCAAAAAATGTTCAATCGCAACTCACAAAATCAACATAACTCCCAGAAATATTAGGGGGGGGAAGCTGAATGGAAGATTTAAGATAAAGAGCATTAATAAAATCACAGCCAACATTCAGTGATGATTACGCCAAAGGGATATGGAATGCCAACTCCACTTCTCTGCAAAACCACTAACACTTTATTAAGATTAGACTGGATGACCTCCCCCCAAAAGGGGGGCTGGGGTGTACAGGAAAATTTCTTCTGAAAAATAATACACAGACGATCTTCTATAGTGCCGTGTTTAAAGTATATATTTTAAAACAAAAATGTTTCAAGAGATTAAATGGCAGGTAAGAAAAAGGCTAAACTATAATCAAATTATATTTTCAGACAGGATTCAGAAAGATACATACAGGTAAGCACAGGTAAGCCAATCCACTGTCTATAACAATTTGGAAAATTTATTCTAACTGGCCTATGGATTAAGCTAAATGTGTTAAACATGCTAAACTGCCACAGATTTTCTAAAATATTAGGTCACACTATTTTTAAACAGGCTCAGTTACAGCTCAATTCCAAATTCTTTTCCAGCTGTTCACAATAGCAATTTCTCTCATGGGTCCTGTGCTACTATTTGTAAACTGGCAAGTTTCCTGCCATATTTTTACCCAGTGTCAGGTATCTAGGGTAAATAATCCTGACCTGTTGTGATAGCTGTTGAAACTTTTGACCCTGCATTACAGTTCTGTGCAAGAAAGATCAATGTACTATGAGTTATGGTGTTACACGGCCATCAGCTATAACAACCCTGCTAGCAATCAGCCTTTCTTAAAGTGGAAATTTGTTCAAGACTCAGTTATCTGTCTATTTTCAACTATAAGCTCAGCAAGATGGCTTTAAAAGGGGAGCATTTGGACAGTGTAGGGGTACTCAACAGCCCAGAATTTTGGAAAGATACATATTAGCTGATCGTCATAGCCAAATTCAAAACACCCCATTAGAAAGTAATCTAGACTGTATGGCTGGGGCTGCTAGATGGCTTCTGAACCATGACTTGAGATCACAAGGAGCACCCTCCTGACATTTATAAGGTGACTACATGGTAAGTGTAGTTTTATTTACTACCTTTAACATAGCAGTTAAAGATTCAGGAACTTCAGTTCCCAAAGTTCCTAGAGAACCTACCTAGGGATGGGCAAAAACCAGGAAAATGGAGGTTCATCCCGGTTCATGGTTCATGAGGTCACACGAACCTTCATGAACTTCTGGTTTGTTTTGTGAGTTTGGCAGAAGATTTGAGATCCATTCCATTCTGGCCTCAGGGAGACACCACTATCAGAAAGGAAGGAGATCTTCCCCAAAACAGGTTCAATGAACAGGGAGTTCATGAAGGTTCGTGTGACCTCATGAACCACGAACGAACCTCTATTACAGAAAAGGAAAGCAAAAGCTGTTGTTGGTGTGAGGGAAGGTGAAATGACAAGACTATGCAACAAAACTCTGAAACAGTTAAAATGTATTTGTATTTATATAAATATTTCTGTTCCTTTTTTCTTTTGCAAAGCAGAACTCAAAGCTGCTTAAAAAATGTTAGAAAAAAAGAGCAATACTTTAACTATAGGCCAAAACTTTTTTGTTTATCTGAAGGCTATTTTATGTATATCATTTTAGGCTGCTGTCTTGTTTTCAATATTGGTAATTCTTACGGTGTTGGTTTTATGATTTTATTGTATTACTTAGCCAACCCAAACATTTCTCTGGAGAGGTGGCAGACACTTTAATTAAATAAATAAATGCAACCACACAGTTCCTCTAACAGAATGGCATTTCTGTTTGCAGAAGAGGGAATGGGGGTTTCTACTGAGTCCCCCTCCCACTGCAGAGTCCCACTATGCTCCATGCTATTCCTGAGGATCCACTAACTCCAAGGAACATGATTTAGCACAAGTAGGCTGCACCACGACAATCCATTTCTGCAAAATCCCCTGATGAGTTGGATTTTGCCAAGCATTAGCCAAACAGAAGTTTTACAAGGTGCAGATCTGTTTGTGCAAGACCTTGGCCAAGAACTACTATAAGATCAAGCACTGACAACATTGCTCTATAAAGAAATCAAAAGGCTGCTTAGCACAGGCATAGTTCAGTTGCTTTTATATTTTCCTTTCATCCTTGGCAACAATTCTATATGACTCAAAGGCTACACTTGGCCCCCAAAGGTGACTCAGATAATCTTTCTTAGGTGGCTCCAGAGCAAACTAATTGATGCAGTAGCCAAATTGCTCGCTCACAACTTGAATGCCAGGAGCTCACAAAGCAGAATTGCCCAGGGCCAATGCTTCCTGTAAGCTATGGAGTCTTTTGAGCAAAAATCCTACTTTATAAGCTACTGGCATTAAAATCATGAGCTAAGACAAAAATCTGCGAGCTGGAGGCTAAAGAACATTTCGTTCACACTAACTCCGCTTAGAGGGAATACTGCCCAGGGTGATTGGGAAGTTCAAAGATTCCCACAGCCGGGGCTACAACCCTTATGCGCTGCCAGGGAATCTGTGCATTGGGGCTTGGCTTCTCGGGAAAGCTGAGCTTCGAAACACAACATGCTAACCCTGGGATGTCCGCAGGACTTCTTTCGAGGAGGCAAAGGGAGCTGTAGCCTTAAATCGAAAGCAACTCGGAAGCGGGAAGTGAAAAGGAGCGAGAAGCACAGCCGTGTTCTTAACCAACCTTGTGGGACCCCACCAGGTACCAACCCATCCAAGGCAGCAGGACTCTCGCCATCAGACCACTGCTGCCAGGTGGCGCGGCTTCTCGGGGGGGGCCAAATCGTGCCCGATGTGAAGGCGCACAGGCTTCTTCCTCCAGGCTGCCTCCCCCCCCCGCCCAGAGAGGGGTTCGAGTCTGCGCCTTGACCCTCTTTCGGCAGCTCCCTCTTCCAACGGTGAGCCCATTGAAAAGCGGCACAAGTCTGGTCGAAGGTAGGCTGCCGTAGAGGCTCCACGGCAGCCTGGCTGCAGCCCAGGGGGCTGTTCCTGCTGCTGCTCCTGCTCACCTTTCCTCTTGGTTGCCTGGCTTGTCCAGCCTGGGGCAGCATGGGGAGGGGAAGGGAGGAGATCCAGGGACCTCTCTAAGTGAAAGTCTAGTTCACCTAGTGGGTGGTCCGGCCCTGAGTCCAATGTAGCTTACTATAGTTCAAAAACTAAGTTGTGAAATAGTGCATAAATCATGCATTTTCCATCTGAAAAGACTGCTCATATACTTACTGTAATCTCCTTCCCTTACTATTTTGGCTTGGAAGAAAGCAAGAGGCGAAGGAGGAAGACTAACAGGAATGAAGGGTTTGGCTTGGTGAAGACTCGTGCCTTCCAAGCCCCCCCCCCCAGGCTTCTGCTGATCAACTGGAAGGCTGCTCAAGGCAAAGGACTTGGTCAATGGGCGCTTCAGAGGGGGGAGAGGGCACTGCTGGTTAGGAAGGGTGCCGGGTTGTTTCGGGGGGGGGTGCCTGGCACTCATGGGCACCTCCATCTGTATGCAACTGTCAAAAGTAGCCCTGACACCATTCTACTGCTCACTGAAACACAGAGGTTTTGTAATCAAGTTCAGGAGGGGACTGGGTCTCATCAGAATCAAACTACATTTCAGAGACACTCAAAATTCCTAAAAATGCAGGGGGGTTGACAAGCTACAGCACTCCTGAGGAGTGGGGACCTGAG